GCTCGGCGGCAGACGCTTCGGAGCGGATGGGCGCGTGTTGTGTGGGGCTGCTGTGACCTGGGGTCATCCACACTTTGGCTCTGAGACAGCCACGGGAGCTTGTGATCCGGTACTGTCCCCCCTCTCCAAGTAGCCTCTTTTTCTAGGGTACGATGTCGATCCTCTACTACAAAGGATCGGTATTTACCAGGGAACCCAGGTTTTTTCAAAATACCAGCTACAAAACGCGGGTATTTTGAGGTTGCTGGGGTTGTTATACGGATGGCGCAACTGCGAGGCGCTAAACGCGTTGCTTGGAGCGGGTGTTTGCTTTAAACCACCGGGGTGATGGAACGAGGCAAACCTGGGGACGCTCCGAAGTAATTGGAGTCAACAGTACCAACCCATACAGGCGTGTCTTTAATTGGGGGACCCCCTTTGAACATGTGTGGTTTTCCTCTTTTCGTTTGGAAGCCATAGAAAGAAGTAGAGCGTTCAAAAGCCCGTAGTTCTGCTTTGTTTTCCCTTTGAAGCCATAAAAAGAAGTACAGTAGTTTGATCGAAACACGACGAGATGCCCGTATTGAATGGTTTGCGCTGCATGGGGTCGTTTCAACATGGGGGTTCGGAGGCCTCAACATCCCCGTAACCTCCAAATACCCGGCCTTTTTTCTAGGGTGTTTTTTGAAAAACCGATCGGTTTTCCACGATAGATACCGATCCCTTTTTTAGTAGAGGGTCGACAACTCCTACCCAAAAAAAGCGGGTATGTGGAGTACCCCAACCACCCAACCACAACGGTAAGGTACCGTGTTCCCCCCCCCCCCCCCCCACATATTATGGGTCCCCAGGACGCCCGCGGCCTACGGTTCCACCCCACTAGCCCGAAACCAACCCTAAATCACACAAAACCGTAAACCTATAAACCCTAACCCGAAACCAACCCTAAACCAATTCTAAACCAACCCTAAACTAATCCTAAACTAACCCAAAATACACCCTAAACCGAACCATAAACCACACACCCGAAACCCAAACCAACCCCAAACCAATCCTAAATCAACACAAACCCGCCCTAAACTAATCCTAAACTAACCATAAATACACCCTAAACCAATTCTAAACCACCCCTAAACCAACCCTAAACCACCACAACCCAACCACAGGACCACAACCACAGGGGCGGGGGGGGGGGGGGGTACTTGTCTGACCCATGACCATTGGGGTGGCAACGCTGTACCGTATATGTATATATATATATACAAACCCCCTACTTCAAATACCCACACAATAAACTTTATTGTGTGGGTATTTTTTGGAAAGCCTGGGTTCCAGAGTCTTTCATACCACCGTTTTAAATCATATCCTACAAAAGCAAAGGTATTGCGTCTAGGAAGCCGACTTAATGGTCTGGGTTTCCCTGAGCTTCGCCCTAGCAACAAGCTTTTCTCAGTTGCAACTGTTCAGGGGTCCAAATACTGTTTTTCAGGCTATGTTCTTGGAAGAACTTGGTTTTCCACGGTAGATTCCTTCGTCAGGGTTCGGCATGATGCCCAAAAAACGGTTGGTCTTTTGGAGTAGGTTTCGGTTGCATGAGTTGCATGACCAGGGCGCTGCTGTCGCCATGGTCCTTGGGGTCTCCCAAGAATCGCCTTCCGATCTCAATCTGCTTCAGCTCGAGAAAGATCTTTCCGAATCCGTCCAATCAGATTTGAAGCCTCGCAAACGGTTGGCACTGAACATGCTATTCAAAAGGGGCTTTTCCCGTTTTGTGTTGCAGATTCGCGTTTGGCAACTTGCATGCAGCACGAACCTTCCCTCGCCATGAAGGTGGATGTTCACTTGCCTAGTGGAGATGGCTGCTTTATAGAAATCTCACCGGAGACGCCCATCAGCGAGCTGAAGGCTGCAGCACAGCAGCATTTTCAGCGCCGCTGAAAGCTCACTGCGAAAGGCCGGCAGCTCGATTTGACAGCCACGCTGAGCGAGGCCGGACTGCGAGATGGGGACGCAGTGACGGCGGTTGTGCAGCTTGGCCATCTGGCTGCAACCGGGTCAGCGTTTGCTTGGCATGGCTACGATGGCGAGGTTGTGACCTGGGGTTGTCCAGACTCTGGTGGAGACAGCAGCCAGGTGCAAGAGCAGCTGAGGAACGTCCAGAGCATCCAAGCAACTGGGAGTGCCTTTGCTGCCATTCTTGAATCTGGGTCTGTTGTGACCTGGGGTTGTCCAGACTCTGGCGGAGACAGCGGCCAGGTGCAAGAGCAACTGAGGAGCGTCCAGAGTATCCGAGCAACTGGCGGTGCTTTTGCTGCCATTCTTGAATCTGGAGCTGTTGTGACCTGGGGTTTTCCATTCGATGGCGGGGACAGCAGCCAGGTGCAGGAGCAGCTAAGGAACGTCCAGAGCATCCAAGTAAGTGAGGGCGCTTTTGCTGCCGTTCTTGAATCTGGAAGTGTTGTTACGTGGGGTTATCCAGGCGATGGCGGAGACAGCAGCCAGGTGCAAGAGCAGCTGAGGAGCGTCCAGAGCATCCAAGCAACCGACGGTGCTTTTGCTGCCATTCTTGAATCTGGAGCTGTTGTGACCTGGGGTGTTCCAGACGATGGCGGGGACAGCAGCCAGGTGCAAGAGCAGCTAAGGAACGTCCAGAGCATCCAAGCAACGGGCAATGCTTTTGCTGCCATTCTTGCATCTGGAGCTGTTGTGACCTGGGGTCATCCAGGAGCTGGCGGAGACAACAGCCAGGTGCAAAAGCAGCTGAGGAGCGTCCAGAGCATCCAAGCAACTGACCGTGCTTTTGCTGCCATTCTTGAATCTGGGTCTGTTGTCACCTGGGGTGATCAAGTCTACGGCGGAGACAGCAGCCAGGTGCACGAGCAGCTGAGGAACGTCCAGAGCATCCAAGCAACTGGCCGTGCTTTTGCTGCCATTCTTGAATCTGGAAGTGTTGTTACGTGGGGTTGTCCAGACTCTGGCGGAGACAGCAGCCAGGTGCAAGAGCAGCTAAGGAACGTCCAGAGCATCCAAGCAACGGGCAATGCTTTTTCTGCCGTTCTTGAATCTGGAAGTGTTGTGACATGGGGTTATCCAAGAGCTTTCAGAGACAGCAGCCAGGTTCACGAGCGGCTGAGGAACGTCAAGAGCATCCAAGCAACTGGCGGTGCTTTTGCTGCCCTTCTTGAATCTGGGGAGGTTGTGACCTGGGGTGATCCAACCTGGGGGGGGAGACAGCAGCCAGGTGCGAGAGCAGCTGAGTTTGTGATTTGGTCTGGTACTGTTCGTATATTGACGGCGCAAATCTGAGGCGCTAAAACTGTGCTGAAAGAAGGGAATAATAGGTACACTCAAGGTGTTGCTTGGAGTGGGTGTTTGCTTTAAACTACCGGGGTGATGGAACGAGGCAAATCTGGGGTGGCTCCGAATGAATTTGGAGTTAACAGTACCAATCCATACAGGCGGGTCTTCTATTTTCCGGAACCCCCTTTTACGAGAGCAGCTGAGCTTGTGATCTGGTACCGATATGGAATCTGAGGCGCTAAACCTGTGCTGAAAGGGGACCCCATGGCATCAGGCAATCCCAGAAACCCGATTGCAAGTTACCAAATTGAAAATATGGGATCTATGTCCTATGTCATGGGTTCTTCAAAGAGTGTTTTGCTGGGTTGCATCGTGTTGCCCACCTACAGGTCCCAAGTCCCAAGTCATGTGGCTCCCTTTTGCATTGCCGGAAAGCAGTGGCAGTGTTAGGGAAAGCACTTTTAGTCTTTTCAAATCAGAGCAACCTAGAAAAATGCCCTGATCCGGCCTAGGATTGCATGGGCAAGGCTAAAACGCGGTGCGAAGCAATTGCGCATGCGAGGAAAAGCAAACGGCGATGAACGGGAAGAGCTGGCGAAAAGCTAGGGACAAGGCCAGGAGGGCTTCCAGGTCCAAAGTCATGTGGCTCCGTTTTGCCAGAAAGCAGTGGCAGTGTTTGAAAAATCACTTTTAGTCTTGAGCCGACCGGGAATGGCCTGGACTAGGCTAAAGCGCGGTGAACAGCATTTGAGCGCATTTGCAAATGTAAGGAAAAGCAAAAGGCAATGAATGGGAAGAGCTACGACAAGGCTAGACAAATGCTGGAAATCGGGCGCGCATTGCCGGAAAGCAGTTCAACGGCTAGGAAACACCTAGGCATAGACAAGGCTAAAACGCAGTGAAAAGAAATTGCGAATGTGAGGAAACGCAAATGGCGATGAACCGGAAGACTTGGGAAATGGCTAGGAAAAGGCCAGAAATCATGCGCGCAAGCCTTGGAAAAGGCAGGGGTCTTCAGGTCCCAAGTCATGCTTGCCGGAAAGCGGCGGAAGCTTATTCTTGAAAATCGGAGATGCTCTGATCCTCTCAAAAGAACAGCATATGAGAAACGTGCGCAATGCTGGGAGAAGCTGGGGAAGGCTAAGAAACGGTAGACCAATGCTACGAGGTCCCCCAGTAGTGCCTTTTTACCATTTTTTTTGGGAAGGGTTCCTCTACCAGAATAGACTACAGAAAAAAATCGGGTACCCTTATTCTAAGCTCCAAAACTGGAGAACCTAGGCTAGTAGGGCGATTGGTAAAAAAACCAGAAAGCCTGGTCTCAGCTTGACAAAACAAGTTGCAAAGGAAAAAGCTTGCTACATCTCTCAGAAAGATAAACAGATTCGGAAAATATGCTCAGCACCTGCAGTATCAAAAAGGCACAGACAAGGCTAGCAGTATGCAGTTTGAATCGCCCAATCACTCGAAAGTCCCATGTTCAATCCTATCACAGGAAGTCCCCAGTCCAGGACACCCTGAATTCAAAGCTTTGTGGGGGGCGTCCCTTGAACCAAACGGAAAATCACGTTGAGTCACAATGTGGACGCCTCCGAATCCCCATGTTGAAACGACCCCCATGCAGCGCAAATCATGAAAAATACTGGCGGCTCGTCTTTGTTTGAACAAAAAAACAGTACTTATTTTTATGGCTTCAAAAGGAAAACAACAAGGGGAAAACC